CCAACCAAAAGCCATCATATTCAACAGCATCCCTCCTCTCTCTCCTCAACTGTGACATGTACATGCATAGTGTTTACAGACTGATCCGGAACAATCCACATACAGATAGTGTGTCCATTTAGGGACAGCATCGGAGATGCCCTTAGTTTGTTTTGTTTTGATTGTGGACTTAGTGGTCTACGCTGAAGCGGGACTGCGGGTGGCCAATGAGCCCATGGCTTTAGCAGCTCGTGCTCAGCGTGCTTCGTCACTACTAGGATATTGCGCCTTGCATTCATGCTTTAGTGGACACGCGAACGATCAATCGCCGCACGGTCGAGGAAGGGTTAGAGGATGGGCGATGGTTGCTTGACATCAGCAGCGAGGTAAACTTTGGAGGCCACATGCAGCTTTTGCATCTCAACCTTGCGATCAGCACGATCAATCGCGATCCCACCAGAGACGATTCTTTCTCATGGCCGGCAGACCCGTCCGGATCTTATACCGCCAAGTCCACCTATTTTCGGCTCTGCCAAGGTGCCGAGAGGGCTCCATACGCCACTTGCATTGGGAAAAGTTGGGCACTTTTGAAGTGCAAATTTTTTGCGTGGTTGGCAGTGCAACACCGGATCTGGACATATGACAGAAGAGCAAGGCACGACCTTCAGGATGCTCCGTCCTTCTGTTTCACGTGCCTTCAAGAGGAGGACAATGCGGAGCACATTCTCATTCAGTGTGGCTATGCCAGGGAGGCGTGGCACTACATATTCGAGACGCTGAGCTTGCAGGGTAATATCCCGGTGCCGGAGGACACCTTACTAGATTGGTGGTTGACTACGAGAACTAACTTCAGGAAAGGTTTCAAGCGCGGCTTCGACACAGTGACTATTGCGACCACCTGGGCTCTATGAAAGCAACGCAACGCCAGAGTATTTCACCGGATCAATCAACAAAAGACGGCGTCAGACCTGGCCCTCGCCATCATTGCGGAGCTTAAAGAATGGAGGTTGGCGAGATTGGATGGAGGAGGTTATGGCATGTTTTGTGAGAGTGTAGACATAGGCTAGCTAGTGGGTGTGCTAGGGTGTGCGTTCTCTTTGGAAGCTAGCTTCCATTCTGTAATTCTTGTAAATTGACGTTTGCTCTCTTCTTCTATAAAATTAAAGTACGCCTTTGGCGTAAAAAATACTCGTAACGTATTCCTCTTGTCACCCCTATATACGGCTGTAGTCTCAACTCAGAAGTCGGAAAATATCACGAATGCCCTGGCTCCTCTCCTCTCCCTCGCGTGCTGATGTCTCCTCCATTTCGTTTCTATCCGTCTGCCACCTTTAGTCGCTACTTAATGCTGGGCCCGTATCATAAAAGCTCTTGAATGGCCGAGCAGAACAGGACACTACCTAAAACATGATTTACCCAGGAATCAGGCAAAAAAGAGAGGCTATATCTAGCCTTGTTATTACCAGTCAAACACGGCCATCACGTTCCTTTCCCCGACAGGTCATTTTGCCCCGAGTTCGGGCGCCATGTAACCAGAAAATACTCCCTCCTTTCCAGTTTATAAGGCTTAATTCAAAAATCTCACTAACCAAGATAGATGATGAGTGGTGGAATATTTTTTATAGTTTACAAAAGCACCTAATTTATGCTATTGTTTTTTAAAAAAAATTATGTTTACGAACGCATTAATTGCAATGCATGCATGCATAAAGTGCATGCATTGGTCAGTTTTCTCTTAATACTTGCATACAATGATTTAATGCACCTTGAAGTTTGAACATGTGATGGGGAACAACCAAATTAAGCCTTATAAAATGAAAAAACTAAAATTTTGAGATAAACCCTATAAACCGGAAAGGAGGGAGTACCTCTCGAGTCTCGACACATATGCGGACTGGGTCTGCGCATATCCGTCTCTGCACTCCAGTTACCGAGGTGCGTGTATAAACCCTACAAGCTGAAAAGAAGGAAAAGGTGATCAGAGACGTATCAGTGGACGCCATTTACGCCTTCAGTGGAGACCACGATCACGATGATTATTAACATGACTTTGAAAAATCGCAACCTTGAACTGACTGCACTGTAAATCGAACAGACCAGAGACAATTCAAAATTCTGGTATTCACCCCGACCAGGTAGATACCCGTTCTAGAAGAGAGACAGAGATAGAAGAACAGCAGCAAAGCTGCAAACATCTGCCTGGCCATCTGGAACCAGAGGAGAAGTCCATTAGAGGTTGAATTCTGGAAGTAAACTTTGAGTATTCGCAAGATGACAAGTCAGTCTTAAAATATTTGCGGCCAAAGATCGGCCATCGTTTAAATATTCCAAGTCAAAGCCGGAAAACCACTTTCCTGGCTTCACACCATTTTTCTCCCTTTTTTTAGTCGTCGACAGTCAGCATCACGGCAAGAGTCAGATATTGGCATTTTCTGTTCACTAATATTAATCAATGAAGAGAAAATAGTACTCTATGACACAATAAACCCTATGGCACAAAACAGTACTTCATCCAGTGGAATAACATAACAATAATTAAAGAAGCGAAAGTGACATGACATCACTAACATCATAGCTATGCTACATCGGATTGCAACTGCAACTGAAGTGAGGTGACACAACATAAATCAAGCAAGGAAAAGAAAACACCATTAACCATTTGTCATAAATTTCAACACCAGATTTTAGTACTCCTACTATTCTGTTAATTCATCTATACTATTCAGCAGCATCAGCAGGGCGTTGGGCGTGTGGCTCTCAATCAGCCTTTGCTGCTGCTGTACCAGGTCAAAGAGGGCTGCTTATTTAATCAACCCTGTAGCTCACCAGGCTGAGAAACCTCTGTGTCCAACTCCAACCACAGCCACGAGTGACTCCAAAGTTCAGGCTCCCATCCTCGCTCAAGCCCCTGCTATTCTTCCAAGCTCCCATCCATGATCCATGGATCCCTTCTTCCTCCTCCTCCTCCTATTCGGTCAAATCCTGCTCTGCACAGCCGGCGACACCATCAACTCCGCCACACCCTTGTCCGGGTCACAGAAGATCGTATCCCAGGGCAACAAGTTCGCCGTGGGCTTCTACTCCCCATCGCAGAGTAACACCACCTCTTCCACCTCCAGCAATTACTACATAGCCATATGGTACAGCAACATACGACTGCTGACCACAGTGTGGAACACCAACATGACGGTGTCTGACCCGGCCACCGCCTCCTTGGAAATCGCCAGCGACGGCAACCTTGTCCTCCTTGATCAAGCCAAGAACCGGCAGCTATGGTCAACTGATGTAAGTATAGCCTCCAACTCCACCATGGCCATCATCAGGGACAGCGGTAGCCTCGATCTTATCGATGTCTTCAATTCATCGATAGTTTACTGGCGAAGCATAGACCATCCCACAAACACCTGGCTTCCGGGGGGCAAGCTCGGGCTGAACAAGACCACGGGTCTGAGCCAGAGGCTTATTCCTTGGAAGAACAACGCAGACCCATCTCCTGGGTTGTTCTCTCTGGAGCTAGATCCCAATGGCACAAAACAGTACTTCATCCAGTGGAATGAATCCATAAACTACTGGACCAGTGGCCCCTGGAATGGCAATATCTTCAGCCTCGTGCCAGAGATGACGGCTAATTTCAGATACGACTTCCAATTCGTCGACAATGCCACAGAAAGCTATTTCTACTACTCGATGAAGGATGATGCAGTCATCTCGCGGTTCATCATGGACGTGACCGGACAGATCAAGCAGCTGACATGGGTGGAATTCTCACAGCAGTGGATCTTGTTCTGGTCACAGCCGCGAACACAGTGTGAGGTGTATGCACTCTGTGGGGCATATGGCAGCTGCAGTGAGGCTGCGCTGCCATACTGCAACTGCGTCAAGGGGTTCAGCCAGAAGGTCCAGAGTGATTGGGATCTTCAGGATTACAGTGGCGGGTGCAGGAGGAACGTACCATTGCAGTGCCAGATCAACTCGAGCTCCGGACAGACCAAGCCTGATAAGTTCTTTCCCATGGCAAGCGTGAGGCTACCTGACAATGCTCGGGGTGCAGTGGGCGCCAGCTTGAAAGAATGCGAGCAGGTTTGTCTGAAAAGCTGTTCATGCGATGCTTACACTTACAATACAACTGGCTGTTTTATTTGGTCTGGGGACCTGGTGAACCTCCAAGAACAGTACAGTGGAAATGGAGTTGGCACACTCTTCCTCAGACTTGCAGCATCCGAGCTGCAAGACCCAAAAAAGAGCAAGGCTGTGATCATTGGTGCAGTTGCTGGCGGGGTTGCTGCAATTCTGATAATCCTTGCGATTGTGTTTTTCTTCCTATATCAGAAATTTCGGCGAGAAAGGACTCTTCGGATATCAAAGACTGGTGGGGGCACATTGATTGCTTTCAGGTACAGTGATCTGCAGCATGTCACCAGAAACTTCTCAGAGAAGCTGGGGGGAGGTGCCTTCGGTTCGGTGTTCAAGGGGAAGCTCCCAGATTCAACGGCCATTGCTGTGAAGAGGCTCGATGGTTTTCATCAAGGGGAGAAGCAATTCCGTGCTGAGGTAAGCACGATTGGGACAACCCAGCATGTTAATTTGGTCCGCCTTCTTGGGTTCTGTTCTGAAGGGTCAAGGAGGCTGCTTGTGTATGAGTACATGCAAAAGGGCTCCCTGGAAGTGCAACTCTTCCCTGGTGAGACAACTGCATTGAGCTGGGCCATCAGGTACCAAATTGCACTTGGAACAGCAAGGGGCCTAAACTACCTGCATGAAAAATGTAGGGATTGCATCATACACTGTGATGTCAAGCCAGATAACATTCTCTTGGATGATTCCTTTGTACCAAAAGTATCCGACTTTGGCCTAGCAAAGCTCTTAGGCCGGGACTTCAGCCGTGTTTTAACGACGATGAGAGGAACAAGGGGTTACCTTGCACCTGAATGGATCAGTGGCGTGCCCATAACCGCGAAGGCAGATGTATTCAGCTATGGCATGATGCTCCTTGAAATCATATCAGGCAGGAGGAATTCTGACCATGGAGAGGAGGGCAGGTCCACTTTCTTCCCAACCTTGGCTGCAAGCAAGCTCCATGAAGGGGATGTGCAGACCTTGTTGGACCCTAGGCTGAAAGGAGATGCAAATCCTGACGAGCTCACAAGAGCTTGTAAGGTTGCTTGTTGGTGCATCCAAGATGATGAAAGCACTAGACCCACGACGGGTCAGATCGTCCAAATCCTAGAGGGGTTTCTGGATGTGAATATGCCTCCCGTTCCCAGGTCACTGAGAGCTCTTGGTGAAAGCCCTGATGTCATAAACTTCTTCTCAGATCTGTCTTCAAGCCAGACTTCCCTGACGCAAAACAGCACAACAACTTCTCAGACACACAGTGCTACTTCAGGCAATTCACATTTCCAAAGTTCGTAATCAGGGAACCCTGCAATTTATGAGGGCAAGGCCTTTATATGTTTGAAAAGTGCCATGAGTAACTGGAGTTGTATATATATGTAGAAACTAGTAAACTCAGATTATTTATGTCGTCCTATGTATCAATAAACACTGTAGGCTCACAGCAGAATTGAATAGCCAAAATAAAAACGAGATTTCTGCTGCATGCTATCTTGCGGAATGGAAACTACTTTACTATTTAGACAAAAACAAACAACATTTTTTTCATGGCAAGTGTCTGCCTTTTCACAAACGCGTGTCTTGGAAAAAGGCGGTCATGGCATAATTTTGCTTGTGCTATTTGGCAGAAGCACAGCCATAATTTCATAAAGGAAAGTCCAGTCAACTGAGGAAGTTAGCAACAGATACAACTGTTGTCTGGGAAGTGGGAAGACAAGTCAATTCAAATGATAAAACTGGTAATATGGACGGAAGAAATCAATGGCCGTGTTGCCTCTCCCGGGGATATTTTTTGAACTAACCCTCTCCAGGAGGTAACGCCCTTGAGTATAAACTTGCAGAATACCACATGGCACTGGCTTGGCTGGATTGACATGAACCTCTATTAGGACAGCAACTGGCTCGTTTGGAGCCCAAGAAAGTAAACTGGCTAACCCTCTATTGCTTTCAGTTAATAAAGAACAAGAGACTACTTTTTTAGAGCTTCCACTGAGCCAGGTACAGATACCAGAAAGGTCAGGATTGATATTCGCTTTACTGCCTATAATCTCACTAAACAATCAAATCTCATTCCGTTCCATTTTTAGTCAAATAGTGAAAGATATTACATAGCAGTTCTGTGCCAAAGGATGGCCCTTTCGCAAGATACGTTCATCAGTTTCTGCTCATATATTACTTATTTCCACTTCCAGAATTAAATCTGCTGTGACTAATACAATCTCCGGACTCCAGCCCCTTTCTGATCATACAACTGTTACATCAAATGGCAGAATTCGATCAGGATTTCTTCTATCCAGGTAAGTTATCCTGGTATTCGGTTCAGAACCACTTAATAGAATACTTTGGTGTGTATTCAACCCAAAAATCTATTGGTTTGGGTGGTCAATTGAGACAATCCTGTACTAAGTGCCTTATCTCCAGAGCTCAAATTGTTGGATTTGGTCTCTCAGGTCAAAACAGACCAACAGAAAAGGGGTAGTTGCGACTGGTTTCGATCCCTAGCCCATCAACGTCTCATATATAACGAAAAGTTTTAAATAACAGACTATGGCAAATAGCGGCAGCCTCAATAGCGCACAAAGCCGCTAAATTGCACAAGATGCCGTTTAGCATGATGCCCCTCCAAATGCTATAGTGTCGAGCTAGCACACTGTTTAAAACTTTGATCTAAAACTGAGTACATGAGGTGCGGTTTCAGTACTACTAGGCGCGAGGAGGAGGAGGAGGTTAGCCTTGATGGGCAGGTGGTGCCTCAGAAGGACACCTTTCGATATTTGGGGTCAGTGCTGCAGAAGGATGAGGGTATTGATGAAGATGTGAACCATCGCATCAAAGCCGGATAGATGAAGTGGCGCCAAGCTTCTGGCATTCTCTGTGACAAGAGAGTGCCACAAAAGCTAAAAGGCAAGTTCTACAGGACAACGGTTCGACCCGCAATGTTGTATGGCGCTAAGTGTTGGCCGACTAAAAGGCGACATGTTCAACAGTTAGGTGTGGCGGAGATGCGCATGTTGAGATGAATGTGTGGCCACACGAGGAAGGATCGAGTCCGGAATGATGATATACAAGATAGAGTTGGGGTAGCACCAATTGAAGAGAAGCACGTCCAACATCGTCTGAGATGGTTTCGTCATATTCAGCGCAGGCCTTCAGAAGCTCCAGTGCATAGCGGACGGCTAAAGCGTGCGGATAATGTCAAGAGAGGTCGGGATAGACTGAATTTGACATGGGAGGAGTCCGTAAGAAAAGATATGAAGAATTGGAGTATCATCAAAGAACTAGCTATGGACAGGGGTGCGTGAAAGCTTGCTATCCATGTGCTAGAACCATAAGTTGGTCGCGAGATCTTATGAGTTTCACCTCTAGCCTACCTCAACTTGTTTGGGACTAAAGGCTTTGTTGTTCTTGTTGTTGTTGTTGTATGAGGGGTGTCGGTCAGCCCGGACGTTTAAGGCCGGTTTGAGGTGCCCATCTGGGTCGATTACTTTTGACCGGCCAGTGACCGAGCCGTTAGACCAGGCGTTTGGAGGGCTACAGTTATATTCCTAGAAACAGTGACATAACTACAATTGTTGTAAGGACAACTGCACAAGTAGAATTAGGGTGGCACTCGAGCCTCAAACATCAGAGAACTAATGCACTCTGTGCACTAACGACCACCTAAAAATAAAACAAAATTACTAAATTGCAATATACAGTTAATGACTTTGTGAGGCATCTATTTTAATTTTGCTCGGTGCAGCCACCCCTAATTCATATGGTAAAAAAGAAAACAGCTAATTTGCGACCCCTCATTCAGTTCCTAGATCCGCTAGATCAACTCACCTTGGCACTTGCAAAGTTGCAATTCATCAGATGCAAGCAGATTGCACTGCAATTTGGGATGGACATGCCCACATCCGTACACACGTTCCCAATCCCATTGCCCCACACCAAATCGAACACGAGGAGGTCACCAGTCAATACAGGGTAGGCAAAGGCAACGTCTACGCGACATAGAACGGGAGTATGGGACTGACGGAGGATGGCGAACCTGGGGCTGGAGCCGCGAGAGGAAGACGGCGGAGGAGGCGACGAACTGGCAAGCCCCGCAATCCAAGGTGCGCTAATGCTGCCCTGGGCGGCGCGAATGCCGCCACCCCTCTGAATTCGATCATCTGATCTGATGTGGGTAAAACTGCTGGGACAAATTGGCAGGGTAGCATCGGAGGCGCGACGGGAGAGGACGGCGGAGAGCCGGAGACCGTCGCCGTCGCCGTGGCTCGTGGAGGCCGTGCAGTTGAAACAAACCTGGGCCGTCCTTTAATGCCGGCCCGTGGGCATGGATCTGTCACGGAAAAATCAAGTCGGTTCGGCGTAGCCCTTTTATTCGCGGGCCGACCCGGCACGATCCAGGCTCGGCTCGGCACAGCCCGATACGTGGCCCAAGTCAGCCCTGCTAGCACTACTAGTAAAATGCCCGTGCGTTGCAACGGGTTACCAAAACTATGACGTTCCAATCAAGCAATTGAGAACATATAATGTATAGCCCACCTTATTAATCCAAAATCAAATAAAATTAAGCGCTAGTTACAGTTATAGGAATATAACACATTTAGTTGATGGATTAAATGCGAGAAGCTTAGAAACCACAATTTATTCTAAAAATCTTAGTTTAAATTTAGCAATTGAAACTTCCGTTATTCATCATAGAGATACAAACTGTGACTTTGTTTTTGTTTGGAATTTTCACTTCAGACACAACAATATAGAATACTACTTATATATATATGCATCTATGAAATTTTTGTAGAGTTTTGAGCACCAAAAAAATTTAGATTTATGCTAATCCTGAGAAGCTTAGAAGTAGAGAAGAAAGAGATATTCCAACCATTTTTTTATTTTTATTTTCTTTGAACCCCTCCTTTTGCCACTGACCAGTGGGTCCGTCAATCCAGCACTCCAGCAGCGTCAGCTACTCCCTGCCCGGCTGTCTCTTCATCTTTTCTCCTCATCCACTCCTCACTCTTCCGGTCTTCCCCCCGGATCCCCTTTCTTGTCAAACTCGCCGGGGACGCCGCCGCTTGCCGTTGCAACGCCAGCCATTGGCACCGGCGGGATCCGCCAGCCGTCGGTCCGGATCGACGCTCACGCCTCCGGCTCCGACATGCACGCCCGTTGAACGCCGTCGTGAACCACCTCGCTTCTCTGGTGCGCTCTTGCTCGTAGGTAGTTTCCTAGCTCGATTGTAGCTCTTGCCGTCCCTTTAATGGTGATTCCTAGCGCCGGCGTGTAGGTACGTCTTGAACCAAGGTCGCCTTTCTCGGTTCCGTCGGCCGCTGTTGCGACGCCGCCGCGGTCATCCTCCTCCCCGAGCAGCTCTAGGGGCCGTGACGGGCTCCGCGTCGTCGCGTCTCCTCTGGACCACGAACTCGAAGCCATGGGTCCCTCCTACTTCTTCCTCGACCGCTGACCGCCATTGACGCCGTCCGAAACTTGCTGCCGTCCGTCCTCTCGCCTCCCTGCTCCGTCCGACCCTGCCAGGAACAGCAAGGTGAGGAGCCATCTCTTCCTGCTGCTGCTGCTGTCCGCTGTTGGCTTGCTTTGCCGCTTGCTGTTGTTGCGCTGCTGGATGGTTGCTTTGCTGCTTGATGCTGCCGGTTGTTTTGCTTGCCGCTGCTGCTTGCTTTTGTTGCTTGCTGCTGCTGGCCTTGAGCTACCGGTAAATGAGAGAAAGAAAGGAAGTTTTACATTTGTAGAGGGATATGGTCGTATTTAGATACACCTAGAAATGGCCATGTTTCACTACCGTTTAATTTTGTTCGTCGTACTGTCAGACTAAGGCTAGTCTTTCCTGTGCATAAAAGTTTCAGAAAAATGCACAACCTGCTGAAATTGGAAAATCCATAAAAAAATCATTCCAGTTTCTGTTTGGAGTAGTACTGATATGGAGTTGGCTGGTTTAAATTGTACTGTAGCAACGGAAAATATGAACATAGTCAATATTATTACTTGGATAGCTCAAGGGTGGATGTTTCTAATCCTGTACATGGCACCTTGGACACATTCTGCAATGAATTTTGAGGCCTGAAATTGATGTTTAAGAAAGTGTTAGAATTTAAGGACACCTGCATGCTAAATCTATCACAAAGCTACAGAAAAAAGTAGATGAACAGATTATATTCTTTTTGTTCATATAGAAGTATCTACTGGCTTGAAAGACTCATCCTGTAATAGTATAGATAGTACAGATACGAGGACTTCACTGATGGCAAACTCAGCTCAAATTTGGGTTGTTCATAAATCATCAGATACATAGT